TGGCAACACACATTAGAGCCCAAAAACACATGTAAAAGTCGAAGGAAGGAACCAACTCTCCAAGGCTGTCCTCTGACTCATATGTGTTGTTGCATGCATGAACAAAAATACAAATCATGCACACACACAATAATAAATAATTTGTAATTGTCTTATATGAGTGCTAGAAAGATGGCTCAGCATTTAAGAGCTCTTGATGCTTTCTTCCAGAGGAACAGAGTTCAGGTCCCTGCAACCACTGTGGGGTGGCTCACAATAGCTTGCAATCCCAGTTGCAGGAGATGTGATGTCTTCTGATCTCTGCAAGCACCACACACACACACACACACACTAAATAATAAGATATATGGTTTTTCAAAAAGTTCTTTGAAAAAAGTATCTTCTAAGGTCTGATAGTAAATTGTTATCTCTCAAAGAGATCATAGTATAGACAAAAAAATTGGAATGCCAGGCCAACTTGCTTATAAATTTCCTAATATCTCTGGCACCGCATAGTTAATAGTTATGTTATCACTTAGAAACAGAATGAGGTTAACAATCTCCAAAGTAACCATTGCAATTTAGACAGAATTCAGTTACTTTCAAGTGTTTGTAAACAGGGCTGAGTGCTTGCCTGGCACACACAGGCCATGGGCTCAATCCCTGATACCACAAACCACAAACAAGTCAGTGAACAACAGACAAGACACTTGCAAGCACCCCAGAAGCCCAACGGCATTGTACCTGACGATCTCCACCCTGGTGGCACACTCAGACTGCTTTTCTTTCCACTGAGGCTCATCCCAGTCCAGTTCATAGAACACAACCACCAGCGCCGGCACCAGATTCAGATGCTTATTCATCCAACCGGTCTTTAAGATCCCTTTGGGAATGTACCATTCGTACGAAGTTCTCTGGCAACAGCGACAAAACTGGAGTTACTTAGGAAGAAGAGCGGCAGACGCCACCTCCCGAGTGCCAGGCACTCTGTATGCATTTGCGTCATTCACTATGCTCGCTGCCCGTTTCTAAGGTGACGACGTTCGGTCCATCAGAGGTTAATAATGGCTGTAAGGGTCCAGGTGTTAGAGTGGAGTCTCAACCGTACACACACTACCCTTCCCATGGGAGGAAGAACGGCCAAAGCAGCGGCGTCCTAATAATGCCAAGTATCTCAGTAGACCTTTCCCAGGTCTACTTCCATTTCCCACTCCCTTTTCTGTTCTTATAAAATACTACAATGATCAAAAGTCCCCTGCAGCTTCATCTGTTTACAGACATACTGCCACGACAGCATTTCACCTTACCTGTGGATGAAATCAAAACGGTTTAAAAACTTGTGGAACAGAATCTAACTGCAAAGGTCATGGATTCTATAATAAAAGTGGAAATGATGAATGGGTAACGTGAGACCTTTTAAGGAGACTTTGTTAAAATTATGGAGAGGTAGGGGTTATTTTGACAAAAAGAAAAGGGACAAAAAGAAAAGGACGCTTTCTGTAGTGCCTAGGATTACCTGAGTTCAATCCTCAGGACCCACACGTTGGAAGAAGAGGTCTCTCTCTCTCTCTCTCTCTCTCTCTCTCTCTCTCTCTCACAACAAATAAAAAATTTTACAAGAAAAAAATATAGCCTTATAGAATGGGAATTATTGTAATTAGTCCTCCTGAAGTCAAAAATTAATGTTATTAAACACATGCATATATTGCATAGTACATGAAAACACCTTTTCCCTTAGGCACAACACACATGACGGGAACAGGGTTGGGAGTAGAGTGGGGAAAAGTACAGGGACTATAAATGAATGCTCATGATCCTAATGCCATTACCTTGGATCTACATTTTGGGTATTCATGGTCACCAGGGAGCACCTTGAAAGAAATCGGTACCCGATCAGCTCTCCGATTGGCACAGAAAGCATCCCAGACTGCTCGATGCACGGCATTATAAACTACATCAAGGCCAGTAAGTGTAACAAAAGCCATAGGCCGACAACATAATTCCACAGGGAAGTCCCACTGTGTGGGGCTCATGTTTAAGATGTCACAGAAAAATCTGAAACACAAATGTCAGGATATTCATAGTTAATTTTAAAAGCCAACATCAATATCTAACATAAACATTACAAAAAGACCAAAGGCTCTGCATGTACACAGTCAAGCAAATAGAAGAAAGTAAAAATTTTAATTCCTAAATTAGGTTTATTAAAATTACTAACTGTATTGCATTTCTTTTAAGTTTCAAAAAAAGGTTGCAGCAGTTTTTCAGAAAATTTGCTATTTTCAGTTATCTTTAAAAATGTATACCAAAATGTGGAATGAACAAGCTAAGAAAGCAGGTAAGTGATGAAATTAAAATAGGTCTAGCCTGTCATGGTGGCACATGCTTTGATCTCAGGAGGCTAAAGCAGGAGAATAAAGCATTCAAGACAACCTGGTGTAAAATAGTAACTCAGTCTAAAAAGTGGGTTTTAGATTTTTTTTTTTTTAATTCAAGGTATATGCTCTGTGTCAATAAAATTTTAAAAATAGTTACTAACTTCAAACTCCTCTGATTTCTCTGGAATTGCAAATATCTAATTCCTCAATTCTTAGAACATAATTCAAATACTGTATACATTATGAAGTAGTTGTTTTCTCAATCTTCATAAGATGATGTAATAGGTAAGGGAAAATCACCAAGAGAAACTCTACTAATAATGAATGGAAACACCTCAGACCATGTTTCTGTTGTGTCCTTTAGCTAAACCTACAATAATGCAGATGTGCATGACTTTCGAAAATGATTATATATCATTGTTAAGGCTATTATTGCACAAAGAAACACTTCTTGAAAACCAAAAAGGAAAAAAAAAAGAAATTAAAAATTTTTTAATTAATTTTTATTTCTAAAAGGATTTATCATATACTCCTTTAAAAGAAGTGATTATCAGCATCACATTATACAAAACAATGTAATCCATGGGAAAACTGAAGTGTAAAACACCACTCAATCCCTAAAATGTGGACTATTTCTAACTGAAAAGTAAATTATCTTTACTAATTTGCTATCAAATGCTTAAGGGCAAAGGAACAACAGGTATTGAAAACTGATTTGCAAAGCTTGCCAGAAATGACGTATATCTCCAACACAAGCTTGCAGAATTGCTTTAAGAAGCTTATGGGAAGGGTTGTGCTAGGAGAACAAAAAAAATACTGTTTCTAGAGAATATAGGATAACGAATGAAATAGCCTAGAAGTGGTCAAAACATAATATGGCTAATATACTTTCCTAATACCAGTCTAGACAAGAGTGTGAAAGACCTATTTCCCTTAATAATTCCAGAGGCTCCAGAGAAATAGATAGGTCCTTGAACATAAGAGGAAGCAGGAAAGACAAAGTTTTTAAATTAGCACTTCCTGAGTGGATTATAGTCACATAAATAATGTTAAAATTAGATAGACGTTGGTGGCGCACGCCTTTGATCCCAGCTCAGAAAGCAAACTCCTGTAAACCCAACACTCAAAGGCTGAGTCAGGAAGATTGGTTCAATCCACAGTAGCCTGGTCTACAGAGAAGCCCAGGCCAGCCAGGGCTATGGAGATCTCAATACCCTGCTTCCCCTAAAAAAAGAAACAAGAGAGGGAAGGGAGGAGGGGAGGGTGAGAGGGAGGGAGGAAAAAAGAAACAAAAAATGAAAAAATCAGAAAGAAAAAATATGGGAATTTTAGTTATACTCTAACCAAAATATTCACCAAACATCACTATAAGTTATCAACGAACTTTTAAAAACCTATCTGTATACTACCTTCAAACCCTTGTGTGTATTTTATACTCACAGCGCACCTCAGTTCAGACTAGCTGACTTCAAGAGCTCTACAGCCACCCACAGCTACTGTCCACCACGACTGACAGCGTAGCTGTCAATTACAGCAAATCTGTTCCAACAACATCATGAGAAATGCATCAGCTATCCCTGCTACATTCTACCTTACAAACTTTGCACTTTACAATAGCTCTGCTTGTGCAGTGGATCTCAAAGGGATAGGACGGAACAAGTCCTGCCTGAATACATTTATTTCAATTACACCCAGGAAAGGAACCGTTTCCTGATTTCCTGGGAAAATAAATGGAGAAACCAAGCAAACTACTGACAGGGAGGAGACACGCAGAAGTACAAAGTAAGGACCTCAGCACCAGGTCACCTGGTTAGTGCAACGGAAGTAATGTGACAGCTAGCTTAGAAGAGAAACAAGCTAACCCAACCAAAAGTGGCTACTAAAGAAGATGGCTATCGATGAACAGGTGGGTCAGGTCTTCTGCTAGTCAGTAAGGATTCAGAGACGTCCGACTGCAAAAAAAGATCGGAGACAGATCGCTTGGTACATAAAGCTACACCGTGGAGAAAGAGAAGCAACACAACCTGAGAAAACACGCTGCCCCCAGGGGCGCAGCTTTCGGCTTTGGGAAAGGAGAATAACCTCACAGTCCTAGACACTGCCTCAACCTTCCTCTATCAGAAATAACCTCTCTACCTAGAAACAGTGCGTTCTTCTCTGGAAGAGAAATGCCAAGGTTGCACCCGTGGACGCCACGGGAAAGCGCAGGCCCCCACAAACCAGCTGGGTTGGCCTGGCCCGGAGAGCCTCTGGGCCCAACTCACCCAGGCCGCACACCCTGGGCCCGCTGCAGCTGCGGCGAGTCGCCGCCAGCCCCGAAAGGAGCAGGAGAGCCAGGCAAGGGCGTCACGGAACGCGGCCACCGAGTTCCGACTGCCCAAGCCACAGAGGCGGCGGCAGAAGGCGAGACTTCCTTTTCCCCGCCTCCGCTGGCACAGGAAGCACTTTCTGGGCCTGATTGACAGTGCTCCAAACCAGTCCCGGAACCGAACGGGGCTCCCTGCACGGAAGGTGCTTCGTTTCCTAGAGGAGAAAGAGTTGGGGGCGGAGAACGAAGGAGCCAATAGGAGAAGCTGTCGTGAGAGGGGGCGGGGCCTCACCATGACCGCCCCTCAGCGGCTGGTCAGAGGTCCTGGTGTCCCGCACTAAACGCGGTCCCGGGTTCCCGTCCCGCCGCCGACTGCCAGTGGCCGAGGGTCGGGAGAGCGCGAGCTCGTACCCGCGGCTGTGAGGAGGGTTTCCTCAGACCGAGGCTCGGAAACGGGGTGCTCCGGCCTCCCGCCCGCAACCCGCCTGTTCTTCGCGGTCGCAAACGCTGTGCGCCCTACGCGATGGGTGCCAACGAGGACCAGGAGGTGAGAACCCAGGACTGGACACCCTTGTCCCGGCACAGGTCCCGACGTGGGGCACCCAAGACTCCGCTCTTGCTCTTTACGTTGGGAGCCCTCACAGCCTGGCCGCCCGGGTGTCCCACGTTGGCGGATCTACTGCCAGATGGCACTGGTCAACAGTGAGGCCAGCAAGCATGAATGGGTCACGTGCGTCTCACGCCCCCCCCCCCCATTTGTCTTTTTTTTTTTTTTTTTTTGCAACCCCGGGGGTGTCCCCAGATATCCTTGCTAAGATGAGTGTCCTTGGTCCACGACCCTGGTGCACTTGGGCTGTCTCTAAATCCCGTGTGTGGCTTATTAGCGCTTACGTATTGACTTATCCTGTCTTCAAATCTGACCTCCTTTACATTTTTTAAACTTGTAGTCTCGTAGAGAGGGGTTGAGGAAGTAAAATTTTTGTGGAGGAAAATGATTGACCCTTATGTCTCGGTTTCTGTTCATAAAGCTTAATGTAATCACTGTTATTGAGTGGATATGAAATGTTTTGAGCATTATTTTGCTTAAAATTCAACACACTATAAATCATCTGTCATTGAACTTTCTAATTATAATGTGTCTAGATGAGGAAGCGTGGTCTACATTGATGCCCAGGGTAAACGCGATGGAATAAGGAATGATTAGATAACAAGCATCCTTATGTGGTAGTAGATAAGTAGTAATTCAGGGTTAGGGTTATGTTGCTTAAAAGTTAGCATCCTGACAATATGGGTGTTAACAAAAGCTCTAGGTTACAAGGTCTCTGTAAAGAACACCCAAATCCAGCAAGTTAATTGCTACCTGAATACCCTGCTAAAATAATTCTTACCAATTCCGTGAACCCAAAGCATTAATGAATTGGGGGGGGGGGAGAAAAGAGAGAAAGTAAGACAAATGACTAGTAAGTGGATACAAACTTAAATAGGGAAGAAGGAGGTCTGATGTCTTGTCACACAGCAGGACTAGTTTCAAAGTATCCTTTGTATTTCAAAATAGAAGAGTTTTGAATGGTTCCTTGACAAATTTTGATTAAAACATTGAAGTGATAGATATGCTAATTAGCCTCATTTGATCATTTCGTGATAGGTACATTTATCAAAAGGCTGCATTGTACCCTATAATTACAATTTTTAAAATATTCTTATGTATATAAATGGCTTGCCTACATGTTTGTATGTGCACACTTACACATCTGGTGCCCACAGAGGGCACAAGAGGGCGTTGGATACCCTGAACTGGAATTGTAGACAGCCATGAACTACTATGTCCCTGCTGAAAATTGAACAAGGTCCTCGGGAAAAGCAGCCAGTGTTCATAACTACTGAGCCATCTCTCCAGCCCCAATAAATATGATTATTATGTGTCAATTTGGAAATTAGTTCTTTCTCCCAGCAAAGCACAATGTAGCACTTTTCCAATTTGACTGATGGACCACACCCACCACCACATGGAGCCAATGCTACCTCAGACCTAATGAATCAAAATTCCTATGGTAGAACCTAGGAATCTCTCCATTTTTAACAATAAAATTGTATTCTTCCTCATGAGGGGTGTCTGGATCTTTGAAGATAGTTTCCTGCCCAGTTTTGAAACTCCTGGCTTTGAAAAACAAAACAGTAATCATATGCTTCCTGTTCACTTTCCTTCATGCATCCTTCCTTGTCATTCCTTTCTTTTCCTGAAATTGAATGTGTGTGAACAGAGCCTCTGATCTCTTATGCTGAAACTGGCATCACACCGTCTTCTAATTTACTGTCAATCAACGCCCCTTAGTGCTTCATAGAAAGCAGCCCTTCTCCCATTTTCTACTTAGATATTTAGGTATTAAATGCAAGATCTACTTACGCTGTCAAATATTATCATTAGCTTGATTTTAAAGGACTTTTGGCGGGGGAGTTCTTAGTTCATCAGCATGATTCATTTTCTCATCACATTATCATCCACACATTTTTGGCAAGCATGTCTTCTCTTTTTGTTCCTGCCCAAGTTATTAATTAAAATATGGAAAGAGATTATGGTAGGAGCAACACTACATTCTTGAATCTGGTTTGGATTTCTAGGCTTTTCTTTATTGTTATTTTGTGTTTGCTTCTGCTCCGTTCTGTAGAGAGCCTTGCTAAGATCGTAATAGACTGAGTCCTTCTCTAATGGACACTTGAAGAATATTTTAGTAATACCTTGTAAGGCTTGCTGGATACTAAGGGTTCTAAACTCTCACAACTGCCAGACTATTTTCTTTATAATCTATTCTAAAATTTGTATATGGAGAACAAGTCAACATCACCATCTTTTGCCTGTTGAGCTAGTCCGTGAGGCAGGAGGCAGAGGCAGAGGCAGATGGATCTCTATGAGTTCAAGGCCAGCCTGGTCTTCAGATCAAGTTCTAGGTCAATCAAGCCCATACAGACAATTGTGTTTCAAAAAAACACAACAAAAAAAAAAAAAAAAAAAAAAATTAATGACATGAAACTCTTTGAAAACTAAAATTTGTTTCTCCAAGATCTGCCTGTCACTCACAGTGACTGAATTTTCTCACTTGTGAGACAGCAGTATTCCAGGAACAAATCCCAGGCAAAGGCTACTAATGAGTATCTACTTTTCTAGTCCTTCTATCATCTTGAGTAGGTCCTGTCAACTTATTTACTATATTCTTTCTTGGGGCTTTTATACCATTTAATCTTTGTATCACTATGGAAATGAGTAGAAATGTAACTGATTTTTGTTGTTGTTTTATTTTCTTAGAATGGGTTTTTCTTGCTGTCCTAGAACTCACTCTGTAGACCGGCTGTCCTTGAACTCAAGAGATCAGCCTGCCTCTGCCTGTTCAGTGCTGGGATTCAAGACATGCACCACTACCACCCAGTAATTGATGTTATTTTTAAAACAGGAAATTGTTGTGCCTCCTGTTTCTCACTTCCAAGTGTAGTGCATTTTCTGTGCACCAGGTTAGTTGTTCAGGAGAGTGGCAGAAACTACTCTCAAGTTGCTTTAATCCACACCTTACCTCCACAATATGGAGAAGGAAGTATGATAATCAGCTCTCCCTCCACATAGTGGATTTGAGAATTAAGTGAGCTAATATAATATAAAAACCCTTAGCAGTATCTGGCAGACAGTCTTAAAGTATGTGTTGTTATCATAATTGTACTGTGTTGGTTTACACATGTGTCATAAGTCTCTGGAGCCAGTAAGTTAAGCCATGTTTTACAAAGTTGGATGGTTTTGAATGAGAAGCTAAAGACTTTTCCTTCCTAATCCATATGTGCCACTAAACAATATCCTTTGCTTTCCACCCCCCCAGATGGAACTAGAAGCTTTACGTTCTATTTATGAAGGAGATGAAAGCTTCCGGGAATTAAGTCCAGTTTCATTTCAATATAGGGTAAGAGACAGCATGTACATTGTGTGTATGTGTGTGCTAGGGAAGAGGATATCGAGGTCCTGCAGAATCTGCATCCATCTTCTAACTTAGTGGATTAACTTTATAACATCCCTCTATTTTCTGAAACTTTTCTTTTTCTAAAGATGATTGGTTTACGTATGTATGTATGTATGTATATCTGGAGGCCCATAGAGACCAGAAGATGGCATCAAATCCATCAATGGTGGAAACCAAACCGGGGTCCTCTGGAAGAGTAGCAAGTGTTCTTAATAACTGAACCATCATCACTCCAGCCTCCTGACACATTTAAATGAAAACTTATCACGACATTGTTCCTGGTAAGATTCAAAACCTTTAAATACACACACACACACACACACACACACACACACACACACACGAACTAGAACCATAGACTTGCAAGCTGCCATGTGGGTGCTGGGAAATGAGCCCAGCTCCTCTGGAAAGACAACCAGTGCTCTTAACCACTGAACCATCTCTCCAGCCTAATTCAGATCCTTTTTTAAAGCTCAAGTTTACTTGATTATAAAATTTTAGAGATAAAAGAAATCTTAAGTATTACTTGGTGCTACCTTTTTAAAGATGGCTTCCCTGGTCCTAGCTTCCTAAACTCTTGCCACAGCTGATATCAATATATAATTCTCAAATTTGTTTGTATTGTACACTGTGATAGGAAATGAGCTTTTGTTTGTTTTCCTAAGACAGAATCACCATGTAGCACAATCTAGCCTTGAATTCTTTTATCTCAGACTCACAAGTGTAACTAGGAAATAAATTCTCTAGCAGTGGTTCTCAACCTTCTTAATGCTGTGAACCTTGAACGCAGTTCCTCATGGTGTGGTGACTCCCAGCCCTAAAATTATTTTCGTTACTACTTCATAACTGTAATTTGCTACTGTTATGATTCATAATGTAAACATCTATGCTTTCTGATGGTTTTAGGCAATCCTCGTATGAAGGTCATTTGACCCCAAATGGGATTGAGAACCACTACTCCATAGCAATTCCCAGTTCTTCAGGCCCAGCTATCTTTGTACTGCCTCCATCTGTATGACAACTGTACTTGTTACTCTACTTGTTGTCATGACAAAATGCTTGACAAAAGCAACTTGAGGGTCAGGCCAGAGGCTCTGAAGCCTGAGCTGGATCCCCAAGAGCCCACATAAAGGTGGAAGGGTAAAACCGATTCTACAAAGCTATCCTGTTCCTGTGGTACTGTGGGCTCCCACACAAATCCCATCCACACAGTGATGACAAATAAATATTTTTTTTTAAAATGTGAAAACTTAAGGAAAGAAGAGTTTCTTTTGGCTCAGTTTGAAGGTATGTACAGTCCATCAGTGAACGTCATGAATCCCTTGTGAGGCTGCTTCTCATATTGTGTCCAGAGTCAGGAAGGAGACCCCAGCCCGTGAAATGGTATCCATATCAGGGTAGGACTTCCCACCTCAGTTAACCTAATGCAGAAAATCCCTCACAGACGTGCCCAAAGGTTGGTTTCTATGGCGATTCCAATTCCCATCAAGTTGGCAACCATCACAACTAGGGAACTCTTCATGGCCAACATTCATGATGGAATTAAGACCTGGGCCCTTCTACTTAAATCCAGCTGCCTTCTGAGATTTCCCCAGCCACTGCCACTTTTTCTTTACCAGAGACACTGAGAGTTCCCATGTGTTTTCCTAAGTATCTGCAGTAACCACATCAGTTATTTATTGAGCACAATATGCAAAATGAAACATGAAATGGAGAGACTGTGTCCATAGTCAAAGGAGGCGAGCTAGGGATATGCCCAGTCAGACCCTGTGTTATTGAATAGAAAGGTTTAGTCAGTTCCTAAGTGACTTTCCTTCTTCCATGTCTTTCATGAGCTTACCCCTTACACTGAACCACGACTTCAACATATTGCTGTTTAGCACTCTGAAACATTTAAGTAGCCCTGCAATAACCTGTTTAAATAGGTTTCTTCCTGGGCTTCTCTTGCTCATAGACTGATGGCTGTATTCTTATCTCTATACCAAAGTCCACTTAAAAAAATGATTTATTTTTATTTTGTATATGTGACTGTTTGACTTGGATGTACTGTGTGTATGTGTGTGTGTGTGTGGTGTGTTTGTGTGTGCATGTGTTCTTGTGTATCTGGTACTCTTAGAGGCCCAAAGTTTTACGCTGCTATGGGAGTATGGGAACCCAGCCCCAGTGTTCTGCAATAGTGACAAACACTCATCACCTGAGCCAACTAACTCTCCAGCCACTCCAAATCATCTTCTGGTCCTGATCTACACCTGGAAACTTTGTCAAACTTCATTAGGCACAAGGGATTCATAAATGATCTGTCAGTATCTTTTCCCCCTTAAGCATTGTCTTTGGATACAAAAAAAAGTGACTCTCAAAAAAAGACACCATGGACAGGGTTCAAGCAGAGGGTTTTTGTTTTGTTTAATTAGGGAAAGGGATTATAAAAAGGGGAAAGGGAATTGGGGAGACTGGTCTCGAGACAGAAACAACAGGAGAGAGGAGAAATGAATGGGGGGAGGGGAGAGACAGGGAGAGAAAGAAGGAGAAGATGGGAAGTAGGCAGGGCCTTTTTAAAAGGGAACATAGTGAATATGCACAGGTGGTGCTCTTAGTGGCTGCAACTGAGGGCATATCCTGTCAGAACCCCAAGGAGAGGCCAGTACAGATGCCTAAATACTAACATTTCCTCCCCTTTTATTATTATTAAAAGGTGAGGCGTTAGAAAGGTGTAGCAGATAAAGTAGGGATGAGGATGCTGTGCTCTCAAGACTACTTCCTGCTGACCTGGGGGGCATTGTTCATCTTCGGGAGACCTGGGAAAGCTGGGATGCTAGCCATGTCCTGGAGTAGCTTGCTGTTTCGCTTCACTGTCCAGGCTCTTCTGAACTATCAGCTGCTTCCTGAACCTGGCAAAATGCTGTTGGTGGTGGATTCAAATCAGCTCCCTAGTGCTTAAAGCACCTGATCCTTTCCCATCAGCACAGCATCACCTGGACATGTTTGGTAGCCTTACACCTCCAGCTCTATGAACAACAGCAGATTAGCAATGGTCAGTGGGTCTCCAGTAAACATCCCAATGGGAGCAAGCAGGTATAGATGATGACATAGCTCTCATGAATGAGGCAGAGAAGTAAGACCCAAGGCTCTGCAATTCCTAACCTCCCAGGAATCCAGAGAGGGTCGATTTCAAGACAGGCACAGGCCACCTAGTGAGTCAAACTCAAAGGGTTGGGGCTAAGGGCGCTGAGCCTGAGAGAGACAAGGTCACCTGGTACCAGGTCCTTGAGAAAAGCCAGAAGTCTAAGAAAGGACGGTGCTCAAAAAAGGAAGGCTCACATCCAGGGAAATGGTCAAAAGTGGATAACCCCACCAGAGAGATAAATGTAGAATAATTAGAAGTTATTATTTGCTTCGCCTTTACAATCTGCCCATGTCCTCATCTTACCTTCAGCTGCAGTCTGTACCAATGTAAGCTGAAGCACAGAAACAGCATCCATTAAATTTAGGGACCTTTTGATGTCAGTGTGAGTCAATCACAGGCATGGTGTGTGTGTGTGTTCGTTCAAGGGGGGACAATGTATCCATAGCACTTGTGAGTTGGTTTTCCCCTTCCACTATGTAGATTCCAGGGATAAAACTCAGGCCATCAGGCTTGACTTCTCTCCCCACCCCCTGGCTGTCTCTCAGGCCCCTGAAGTGAAAAGATTGATTCAGGCGAGCATTATTAACAGATGTTAACGTCTCTAGGCAAAGGTTGCTAAGAAACAGGATAGTGGCGTAGTTCTGTGTTATTGCTGCACAGATTTTCTTTATTACCTCTACACTGAAGAAATTATCCCCAGTGGTGAAGCCGGATGGGTGCCCGTGAGCTACCACATCACCTCTCCTCACAAAATGGTCCATGTCTATATTTGGGGAATGTTAGAAAAACTGGCCTAGACTCTTAATGTCATAAAAGACTTTTTAAAAGCCAGGAAGAAGGTTCTATTAAGGTATACTAAAGAGACACAACAACCAATGACAGTAAAGTTTTAGTGAAATTTAGATTTCTGGGGTAAGAGTGGCATTTGTTAAAGGACACCTTAGATAGAGTTACATATTATTTGATAAGATATTTTATATCAATGTTGAATTCTTGGGGGTGAGATGATTGTCTTGAGACTACAGAAGATATCTGACTTCCCCCCCCCATAAATAACTAAAGATATTTCATTACTTCCAAATGCTTCAACAAAAACCAAAGTGGGGGAAATCATACATGTTAAATTAGATACTGTTTGCTGTGTTGGGGGGTAGAGACAAGGAAATGAGAATGTATACCAGTGATAATTAATCTGCTAGGTTAACTTTCCTTAAGATTAATTTTGTTACTGTTTGAGACAGGATTTCTCTGTGGCTTTGGAGCGGGTCCAGGCTAGCTTAGAACTCAAAGAGCTCCACCAGTCTCTGCCTTCCAAGTGCTGAGATTAAAGGCATGTGCAACCACCATCCAGCAAAATTAAAAATGTTTTAAATAGAAAGTTGACAAAATGGAACCATTCTTACCAGGAATTGCTCTGTGGCCTGAGGCATCTTCTCCTAGGCCTTGCTTTGCTGGTCTTGCTTGGTGTTACACTCCATTTCTGTCTCTTGCCACTTGAACAACAGCATGTATCAGTTTCCCTGTTCTTTGTGCCTGTTGCAGTTTAGCAGTTGGAAATCCTAAAAACAAGCTGTTACAAGTTTGTGGATAATTATTTTTGTCCATTTCAGTTTAGTTTTTGATACATGGTTTCTCTGAAGCTCTCTAGATCATGTTGGCCTCCAGGTCAAAGATTCATCTGCTTCTGCCTCCCACTGTGACCATACCCAGCTCCATTGGCGTCTTTGAGACAAAAAAAAAAAGTAAAATGGCATTGAAAAGCGGATTGAGAAGTGGGCCATCAGCACTAATGCAGCCTCCTAAAGCAGGACTCCGATTAAAGTTGAATGTGCTTGTACTCCCCTCCCCGTTGGTCAATCTTACCCCCAATGCCTCTTAACTTCTCAGCATTATGCTTCTGAGTCTGAACATATTAGAAAGAATCATTTTGAAGCTAGTTATTTCGGTATTTTGATTACTTTCCATGAGACTAAGATTGTCCTTTTTTCAGATAGGTGAAGATGGTGATCCCAAAGCCTTCTTAATAGAGATTTCCTGGACAGAGACATATCCCCAAACACCTCCGGTTATATCTATGAATGCATTTTTTAACAACACCATGTGAGTAGCTTTGTTTTCATCGCTTTGTCATCATCTTCTGTTTTAGTCACCCTTGACAGTTTGATCTCTCTGCATTGCAGCCCCTCAGCTGTGAAACAGAGTATCTTAGCCAAACTACAGGAAGCAGTAGAAGTGAACCTTGGCACCGCCATGACCTACACGTTGTTTGAGTATGCTAAGGACAACAAAGAGCAGTTCATGGAGAACCACCATCCTGGGAATCCTACGCCAGTGAGTGTGGGGTTGGTTCTGCCAGATGGTTTGGTCTGGGCTTGTTAATAATTTTTGCTGGTTGGGTTTTTGGCTTGTTTTTTTTTTTTTTTTTTGAAAATTAGAAGACTGTGTGTTAGAATTAAACAGAGAATTATATTTGAGTTAAGTCAGAACAATGAATCTTAGATTCCCTCTATTTAATGGGGAAAATGAAATTATGTTCTGTCAATTTTTACCCTTCAGCAAAGATTTAAATACTTCTAGCCATTGAAACTGAAGCTAGGCATGGTGGTGTATACCTTTAATCCTAGCACTGGGAAGCAAGGGCAGGTCTGTGATTTCAAGGCCAGGCTAGGCTACATAGTAAGATTCTGTCAGAAAGAAAAAAAGAAGGAAGGAGGAAGAAAGAAAGAAGGAAAGAAAGACCAATCTTGTCTTTGTTCCATGTGAGGCATCAAATCCTCCCTGCATATCTTTTTTAACCCTGTGATTTTGGCCAGCTTAACCTCTATGTGGTAAGGCTCAAATAAATGATATGTATAGTCACAGAGTACTTGCCATGTAGTATTTTATATTTCAGCTGTCATAAGTGCTAACTATGCAAGCCCAACTATTTTAAAGACTTTTCTGTAGGAAACCATCAAGATCTGGGTGGGATATGTGCTTTCTCTAAAGATGCACCAATAATGACAGCAAGTTCAATAATCTGGACAATTTTGTTGGAACCTCAGATCTTCAACATAACGTGGGCGATCAGACTTCCTTCTCAGGATTCCAGTTCTACTGCACTCTAATGTTGTGTCCTTGAAAATGAGCCTTTGTGATAGCAAGGCCAGTGATACATGAGCACACCTGACTGAATAAGTGAATAACAGAAGTAACACCTTTCGTTTTATAAATTTAGAAATATACTACTCCCTTCAAGATGTAGCTGTGTTTAACCTAATCCAGTAGGTTTTAAGGTATGAGTCTAAGATCTGTTTCTGTTCTTGTAGACGCCCATAGCCAATATCATCTCGGTTGAAACTCCGAGCACAGCCCCCTCAAGTAAGAAAAAAGACAAGAAAGAGCAACTTTCCAAAGCTCAGAAACGCAAGCTGGCAGATAAAACAGGTGTGAATTGTAGTTCTTTGTCTTTCGTAACACAGGATGTGGGTCAATTTCACTGTGATGTGGGCGCTTGTTTACAGGGCTAATTCTTCAGTCCATTCTTGGAACATTTGAATCAGAGACCTGTTGGTCACAGTAAAAACAAAAATAATAATAATAAATTAATTTTTTAAAAATACTGTATTTATTGCTACTTCATCATGAGATCATCATTTGGAAAAAAGATAATGAGTTACAAAGAAATTATAAACATTCCCACTGAGAAACACTAAGAAAATAGACAGAGCACATGTCTTGCCTGAACACTGTAACCCCGTGTGGGATTTACCTGTGTGACAGGTGTGCACTTTAGCTGTGTGAAATATAGTTTTCACTTGCAGTCTGGTGCAACATTCCCAACTTGGCATAGTAATTTAATATTTTTTTGCCTATAGTTAATTTAATTACACAGTAAGATTTCAGGGAAGAATTCCCATGTGTTTGATAACAGACTGCTCAGAAGAGGGTTATGAACTCCAGCTCAATCAACAGTGATGTTTGCTCCTTTTGAATTAACTTGGAAATTTGCAAATGGGCATTAGTCTGAATTTTCTCAATTAGGGAAAAAGAGAACATTGTCGTGTATTCACAGACATTTACATAAAGGTGTGTGTGTGTGTGTGTGTGTGTGTGTGTGTGTGTGTGCGAGCGCACATGCGCGCGCGTGCTCAGGTGTGTGTACATTGCTCAAGGACGCCCAAAAAAGGTGGATGCCCTAGGCCTGGAATTGAAGGCAACTATGTGGTGGGTGTTTGGAACCTGTCTCTCATTCTGAAAGGGCAACAAGTGCTCCAAACTAACAAGTCATCTCTTTAGCCCCTGCCCTTTCTTTTATGAAGGGATAATAGGGTTTTTTTTGTTTGTTTGTTTGTTTAATGTATGTCAGTGATAGAATAAAAAGAAACCAACACTGTGTTGGTCCTCCTAAACAACATTGCAATTATAAGTGTTTGTGGTATAAAAGTCTCTGCATCGTTCACCTCATAGCAGGTAGTGGTAAAGTGTAAATAACTGAAATAAAAAAAATTAGCCATTGCAGCCTTCTTTCTAGAATTTTTGTCTTTCTGAAATTGTCTTTCAGATTGTCTTTCTGAAATATTTTAGCATCTGTGCCAGTTACCTCTTACTTCCATGCCTCATGGCCTGTGGTCATGTTCACTTAACAATGCCCCACTATGGTCCAATCTCCCCAAGATGACAAAGTAGGAGTTTATGACTGAGAGCTTACATTCTAAATAAAACTTTAATGGGATAGCCTGGGCATCCACACTGATGGTACAACCATGTGCCCTCATAACCTGTGACATAAGATTCTTGCTGGTCCAAGAGAGAAGAGAACCATTGGCATCAGGAATGGGGCTCCTATAACAGTTGGCTCTGAAAACCATTAGTGTCTGACTGCTTTGCTGGACATTTAATACAGGTGACTATCCTTTACCCACATGCAGAAGTGTTACAGTTCAGAGCCTTCCAAATTCAGGAAATTTTCATAGTTCCTAGTTGTCAGCCACAATTCAAGAGCTAAAATGTTCCAAAAGCTAAAACTACTCAAAAAGTTTCAGATTTTTGGAACATTGTTTTTCAGATATGTATAATATTTGTTTCAAATGTAAATTTTTAAGGCTTCATAAAATAAGATATACAGCCTACATGAATCTATTCTAGATCAGAGGACAATTTGGGTGGAGGTCAGTTCTCTCCTCCCATGTGGGGCTCAGGGATTGAACCTAAGTGGTCAGGTTTCGCAGCATGTCCTCTCATCTGCTGAGCCATCTTGTTGGCCCTAATATTGAAGAATTTTTAAGTAAAATATTTATTTGTTAAGTATTTCCTTAAATTTGAATATTAAAGGCTGAAAGCATTTTGCTTTTTTGTTTTTCTGTTTTTATATAAATTTTTATTTAAATTAGAAACAATCTTATTTTACATATCAATCCCAGTTCCCTCTCCCTCCCATCCTTCCCTTCTCCCCACCAATCCTCCCATCCACTCTCCAGGGAAGGTGAGACCTTCCATGAAGGATCTTCAAAGTCTGTCAATTCATTTGGAGCAGAGCCTAGGCCCTCCCCCATGTATCTAGGCTAAGAGAGTATCTCTCCATGGGGAATGAGCTCCCAAAGTCGTTTGTGCACTGTAGATACACACTGGTTCTACTGCCGGAGGCCCCATAGACTTTCCAGTTATGATTCCTGAAACAGTGATCTAGCATGGCTTCTCATTCAGATAAGCATTGGCCTTAGAGGAAGACTCTGCACCTGCACAGGAGCAGTCTGTCAGTCACACCCCTCACTTTCCCTTGGTAACAGGTTTTGTCTTGAATAGATGTGTCGTAAGCTTAAAAGGGGTGTGTCTCAAATACTCTGCAGGTTTCTCCAGAATAGTGCTTTAAGATCACCAAGATATTGAGAAACTGCTTTTTCCAACTTTAGTAATATGTGATGCACACTTTCCATCTACTTGGTGTATAAAAGAGTATAAAAATATTATTTGCTTGGATATGAGTTCATTTACAAACTTAAGTTACTGATTTTATCCTCTAGATCACAAAGGGGAGCTCCCTCGAGGCTGGAACTGGGTTGATGTCGTGAAGGTATAGCATACTTACATTCAAGTCTTCAAAGTTGTTACAGTTGTTGCCATCAAATAACAAAATGTCTATTTTCCATTTTCCTCCTGCCTCCTTTGGAATTTCCCGGCTGTTTACATGTTTGGACTCAGCATGTAAGTATTCTTGAAGTCTTGATGTTCTCTGCTTCTTTGGGGTTAGATGTTCTTAGTAGTAAGCTTGGTTTCCATCCCTCTGCTGTGATGTCCTCCCAGGGTTAGCTCTACTGAGCTGTAGAACAGATACATGGGAATCCAGCCATCCTCTGTTGAGCTAGATCATGAAGAGATCTGCAGAAATGGAAAGCCAGAACCATGCTAAGTCCTTTTTCAGAAAATGAGAGACTAGAGGAGTGGTTTGTGCATTAAAGGGTCTGCTATGCAAGCATGAGGCCCCGAGTTCAGATCTCCAGCTTTCACATAAAAAGCTAGGTTCAGTGGCATGCATTTTGGAGGTCAGAAACAGGCTAACCCAGCAAGCCTAGCTCAGTTAACAAGGTCTGTATTTTGTGAGACCATAATGTGGAAGGCAAGACATTTGGCATCCATGTACAGGAACTCACACAGACATGTTCATACATCACCTATGCACACACACAAAAACAGTGGTTGGGTTGTTGTATGATAGGTTTATTGTTAGTTTTATATGAAGAAACAGTTTTAAATCTAAATGCAGCAGCTGTAGCCCATATTATAAACAATGAGTCCTTAATATCTTCAATTACCTAACAAGATCCATGTGTTTGGGAACTGTCACCCCTTTAACTCCTGCTTTCCATGGCTTCCCACATTCTTTTCCAATATCATTTTATTTCCATTATTTATTTTGTGTGTATACACAAATGCTGAAGCATGGTTGTGGAAGTCAGAACAGCTTTCTCTTTCCACCATGCAGATCTGGAACATTAAACTCGGATTGTCAGGCTTAGCCATTTCCCTAGCCATTTATAAGTATGTACCTGTGCACCATGTGTAGATGCTTGTGAAGGCCACAAGGAGTCACATCCCCTGGAACTGGAGTTAGAATTAGTCGTGGGATGCACAGTGTGGGTTTTAAGAACTGATCATGAGTCTTCCACAAGAGCAGCAAATGCTCTTAGATACAGAGCTTTCTTTGCATCCCGGCCTCCATATTCTTAGTTATTGGGTACAGGATGGAATCGGTGGTAATTGGGTGGTCTTCTTAGTATTCTATTGCTGTGAAGAGACACCATAACCATGGCAACTCTTATAAAGGAACGCATTTAATTAGGGCTGGCTTAGGTTTCACAAGTTTAGACAGTTATCATCATGACAGGGCATGGCAGTGTGCAGGCAGACATGGTGCTGGAAAGATAGCTGAAAGTTCTACATCTTCCTCCTCTGGCAGCAGGAGACTGTGTACCACACTGACCGTAGCTTGAGCATATGAGACCTGAAAGCCTCCCTCCACAGTGACACACTTCCTCCAAACAAGCCACACCTACTCCCACAACACCACACCTCCCTATGGGCCTGTGGGGGCCATTTTCTTTCAAGCCACCATAGTATTTGTCCTAATCAGGATCATGTTTGTGTTGTTTGAGAATTAATCTGCTTCATTCTCTCAAATTTGTCAACTCTTTACAAAGATTTTTTTTTTTTCAGAAACAAAACAAAACAAAAAAACAGCAAACTCAAATTTTAACTTAGAGTTAAAAATGTGTTATCTGGGGCTGCAGAGATGGCTCAGAGGTTAAGAGCAGTGACAGTTCTTCCAGAGGTTCTGAGTTCAATTCCCAGAAACCACATGATGGCTCATAGCCATCTATAAGTGCCCTCTTCTGGCATGCAGGCATACATGCAGTTAGAAATCTGTATACATAATAAATAAATAAATCTTTAAAAAAAATCTTATCTATAAAGTATATTCTTTTATTATAGCAATTATTTTTAATTATTAAAAATATTGTTTATTCACACAAACACACACACACACTACATGCACAATTAAAAAGACTAAATTTAGAAAAGAATTTATCTTCTGGTCTGTCGTTCTAAGTTCCTACCACCCATGTATGTACACATTACAGGGAAAGGCACCAGCTGTCATACCTGATGACCAGAGTTCAGTCCCAGATCCCACATGATAGAAGAAAAGAACTGACTCATAACAAGTTGTCCTCTCACCTCCAGACACACCTGAGCACACTCACAAACACTCATGCATGCATACAGATGCACACACTCATACACACAATAAATGTGTAAATTTTTTGAAAAATAACAGTTTATTGGCTGTCAATGTCATGCTTGGTTATATTGACATGTGCATCAAATGTTGTATGATGGAGTTAAGACTTCAGTTAAGGACAACTGAGTCAGACTTGCCTTGAGTCTGAAGCCATTTCTGTGCTCAACAGCTGAGTGCCTTGGGACAAGTTACTTAACCTCTGTCTCAGTTCCCACACTTCTAATAAACTGTGATAGGGAATAAAGTTCATACTGAGTTAATATACATTCATCAAAACACTTAGAATAGCACTAGGTGCAGAGAAAGCACCAGATATTATCATGACAGCATGATTCATGGAATATTATCCATAAAAAGTAAGCCTGGGTGGGGAAAAAAATACTGCTGCTGACAGAAAGCAATAATAGAAGGATGTCATTCATGTCACAAACTACTCCTTCTATATGAATCCTCTTAGATCGGAATTCTTAGAAAACTGCAAGGGATGGTCCCCTCTTAACCTTGTTCTGTTGAACCGGCTTTTGGGATGTTTTTAAACCTGTTAGAAGTAATATGGATCAGTTACAGTTTAAACTCCCATGACTTGAACTTTCATTTCCTGTTGTTTACTTATTTACCTTTTGATTCTGATAGAACTAATGACTCAGACACTGCCATCACTTCCACATAATATTTGTCTTTTTTTTTTTTCAACAGTTAAGCAAAACTGGCTCTAAAGATGATGAGTAACACCTGCAGACAAAGCAACCCAGATCAACATGTCTCCTTACTTTTTTTGGTACTGAGTGGCATTTTATGAGACACAGCTCTTTTGTTTGTGTCTTTAAAAATAGCAGTGGAAAGAAAGTCCATGAAGAGATTTGGTTGTAGTAAATTATTTTCACAAACTTGCCTTAATAAAAGGTGAACGTGTACCCATTTAGAGTACTTCCTGAAGTTGTTGAGCATCTTCAGCAGTGGATAGCTCTGAGGAATCAGTCGGTGGTGACTTAACTATCTGATCCAAGGGATGGGATCATTTTTAAAGGCCAGCAAAGCCACTTGCAAACTGTCAGTTCAGTATCGCCCAGTACAGAGTCTCTGGTATTCTTTGGCACTACCCATAGCAATAGGAGTCTCCACTTAAATCAGCGCCACCTCCTGCTTAGGTAACAAAGAGGAAGTTGCTTCAGAGCAATCTGAGTATGGGTGTGGAGCTTTCTGTGATTCTCTTTGTAATTCCTTCTCATTTGTCAGCAGCAAATTGCTTCCCTTTATTAAATTGATATCTAGTTACACTTTCTCTTGGTTTGGGAGAAGGTGTTTGATCATGAGAGCTCTCAATTCTATGAATAATAGAAAAAGTCTAAGAAGAAAATTAAGGGGCTGGGAAAGAGCTCAGTCAGTAAAGGGCTTGCTGTACAAGAATTAGGTCCAGAGTTTAGATCCCCAACATCCATACATAAAGCCGCACATGCACCTGAAACCCAGAGCTGGGGAGGCAGACAGGAGGGTCCCTGCTGCCTGCAGATCAACCAGTCTGGCTGAATCAGATAAATCAGATAGATAGCAATAGAGGAAGACACTTAACATAGATCTCTACCCTCAACAGGAAAGCCCACGTGGGTGCACCCATCTGCATACACACATGTGCATGCATGTACATACACACACACACAAACAGGCACTCATAACCATACACCAAACAAAACAAAAACAACAAATTTGCCAAATATTTCAGAAAGCATTTGAGTAAGTGCTAGCTCTTATTTAAAATACTTCTCTTTTCTGCGTATGCCAGGATGAGTATAAAACGCCTTAATATGTTTGTGTTGTTGGAGACAGTGGGTTTAATAAATTCCTATCATCTGCTATTGTGATGTTTTGTTGGTAAATAAGTTTTCAGTGGATTCAGCATTCACACATTTCAAATCCTGGGGGGTGGTGCTCCATTTTTGTGGGGGGTTTGCTTTTTGGTGGGTTTTTTTTTTATTTGTTTGTTTTTATAGTGTCTTTTCAAATATCCAAATGTGTTTCCCAACTTCTGTGTCTTTTTAATGTACATACAAGTCTTTCACATGCTGAACTGCTGTTAACACATGCTTGGCTTTTGCAGTCTTAGGAAAGGAAACTTGCTGTAGTTTTTCCTACTGTGTGTATGTGAGTTAGGGTGACTATGTGTGCTTCCATGTTGCTAGAATACCAAGTTATACCGTGTAGTGTAGACCCACAGGTAACTTTTAAAGAAGTCACTGTAGCATAAGAGCAGATAAAGATGTGTCCATGGATTTCCCAGAGTTACCCTCGGCTTCAGTGAAGTTGTGTCAACTGTCAAGTGTAGTACAATGAAGGAGTTTGCTCGAATTTGAGAGAGCTGACTCCCAGTTTGTTTCTTGGATTGATATTGAAGACACTCAGACTATGACATCTTTTATTTTCAAGGTTCTGTTTGTGTAGGTTTTATTGTCATCTTGACTTGTTTTATTTATTTTTTAAGAAAGCATCTTATAATGGAAAAAAGGTGTTTTGTTCTGTTTTAAAGACTATTACACTGGTCTGAGTTATTGTGGTTCTTAGATTGCAAAGAATAATGCTAGTTAAATGCCAATGAACTCTTTTTTACTCTTTTTTCTATGAATTGTACAAATCCCTGGGGCAGATGGTGGTAGTGGTGCCTCCTGTTACCTTATGTGAACACTTGAACACTTTCATCAATTGCCAACATCTGATAATGCTCCCAGTATATTTTCTCAGAGTCTATTTACTTAAAATTGTATGGAATGACATGACTGATAAGCAATAAAGTCTGAATCATAATGGTTTCTTTTCTATATGTTTTATTTCAAATCACTTCAGAAAGAATTGTTAACTCTATAAATCTGCATTATAATCTTA